TTTAAAAATGTTTAACTCATTGTCAACAAGACTTTATCATACAAATACAAGCATGTTTTAATAGAATTGGACGATCTTGATGACTATCATGAAATAATCTTTGCATTTCACATATCGAAAAGTCAATCACTGTCTTTTTAGTAAATAGCTATTAACCAAATAAGCAAATGAAAATGCTAGAAAAGAAACTCTGATTGGTGACAATCTACTAAATATTCCATGAAACTGTTTCTCAATTTTTCATTATGCCGTTGCCATCTCAATTTTCCTTTAACGAAATCCATTCAGAGCTAATCAACAGCTATTATATATTTATTATCACTGTTCAGTAACATGCCACGAGGTCAAAGTAGCGTTCAGTGAACATTTTTAAACATATGCTTATAAGTATTCTTGGCACTTTCTTCACGTTCTTTTCTAAGCAACTGTATTCGTTCGAGTTCAATTTTTACCAAATTTACACTACCCGGATATTGCTGCTGAAGCATTTTCAGATCATCTGCAGCCTAAAATTAAGCAATAATATACAATATAAAACTGAAAAAATTCTTGTTTATCTCCCTAAATGCGTTTTATTTGGGATCGCAACATCAAATGTAGTCTGATAATTGAATGACATAATTTCAATTCCACAGAATTCATACCTTTGTGAATTCCAAGAAAACTATACGGCTCAACGAAATTTTAAGCTCTCCCCTTCATGATTACTTGGATTTGCTACTTGATTAATTAAAGATGAAACAACAGAAAAATGAAAAATATAAAACAAAATATTCACTGTATTTTCAATATTTAACAGCAAGTTGGAAAAGACCTTCTCTAGATCCCAAACAGCGATTCGTCCTTTTGCGCGCCTATACAATGCTTTTTCATTCAGTTCATCCCTTTTCAATACTTCAGTTGCAGCATCAATAGCTTCATAATACTGCTTCCAATTCAGGTAACAAAGAGAAAGATTTAAAAACAGAGGTATATTCTGCAAATCAAAAAAAAATAACCAAACATGGCACATACTCAACTCAAAGTAACGTTTTTTTCTCTAAAAAAGTATTTAGCATCCCAAAATAATATTTTTGCCTGGATGTGCTATTTCTCATCAAACAGTGCTACTGACAAATTTCAACAAAAAAATCTGTGATGGTCGTTGAAGTTGTACAGTTGATTAATTTCTTAAGGTCATAAAAGAAAGTTGTCCTTTGTATGGATTATACAAATAAAGGAAACGATTTCATTATGTGAAATCAAAGTCAAAAATATACAAAAACAAAATAAATGCACAAGCTAAAGTATTAAAAATTTTTTAAACCAAAATGGAAAATCTATAAGATATGAAAAAATCACCTGCTTATCAAGATCAATCCATTCTGGATCACCTGGCTTTTCACGCAATAAAAGAGTATCTATGCGATTTAAAGCTTCTCTATATCTCAGTGAAGCGTTCAGATAGTCACCCTAAAACCAAAACTTTTCTATAATGCAGTTACATTCGTAATAAATACTTGAGGCTACGAACTAATCATTCTGAAAGATGTTAACTACAAATTGTGGCTTTATTATTTTACAGTCATTAAAATTCTCCAGCTAAATTTTAAAAAAAAATTCAAAGCTTACTTTTCGCAAATATTCATTTCCACATTCTTTCAGTTTAGCGACACTTGCCAATTTTTCATCGGGTTCTAACTGCCAGCTCTCTGGTTCGTAATCTTCCGGTTGTAAAACAATCAACAGATGAAAAATAAAACGCAACGGTTGTGGATTCTTGATCAATTCATTCAGAACTTCATACTCCATTCTGAACAATTCAAATAGAAAAACAATGGATGTTTAATTCCTATCTCTGTTCTCTATGAGAGAGTAAGGAGTAATCGGAAATTGAAGCAATAAATTGTTTCATTAAGCAGAACAAAAAAAAGATCAGATAAAAACAGCTGTTGTACACAACATGAAACAAAAAGTTTGCAGTACCCACAGTTTAAAAGAACAATAAGAGCAAAAATTAAAAATATAATATAAAAAAATATAACATATCCTAGATAAATTCAAAAAGCCTATTAATTTATCGATTAATAAAACACAAACGTGAAATCATTTGCTGCAGCACAATGCGAATGGTGATGGTTTTGATTACCCAGCTGCATGGCATCTTTAGATATATTTCGAAGTTTCTGTGAAACTGCCGGATATGTATAGAGCTCACAAGCAGCTATATCGAATTGACTGATCTGAAATCAACTGCTGTCTATTTTATGAATTGCATATATGAGAAATGAAATAAATATTCTATTTCAAACAATAATCCGCTGATTGGAAAGATTTCAAAGATGTCTTCGAAAATACAAACAATTCAATGGAATGCTTATTTCATTTCCAAAACTCTAGCATGATACGATGATATCCATCTTATATCATTTTCTCAAATTTCAAATCCAAAATTAAAATCTTTATTCATCTTGCTACAACTTTCTTAAATTATGAATGGACAGCTTATATAATGCAATGACCAGTAGTTATTCACAGGCATCTGTCCACAAACAAAATATAAAAAGAAGGGATAAAAAACTACCTCATCAATTAACATCGTCTCTAAGCAACGTTCAAATATTGGTAACTGAAACTTCTTCCCAAATACCAACTCCAGCGGTTTCCCGTAACCATCTGGATATGGCTTTCGAGTATTATCGATTGACCTATAGCTGTCTCTGCAACATGAAGCCTGCAAGTTATAATGTAACAAGGTTATAGAAATATGAATACATGAAAGTTCCTCACCTCGAATCTGGAAATCCTTCCTCATTCACATTCACTAGTGGTTTCAAAGTCTCATAATGAAATACTGCTTTGGTACCAGCTCTAAATTCTGGAATTTTTCCTCGTCCTGCATTCAGAACCTTCTTGAACGTTTTAATTCGTTCTGATGGCAACATTTGCGATAATTTGTATGCATCACATTCGCAGTGCGTACCATACAATATTATACAATACCTGACAAATTTTGCGGCATTTATACATCTATTATAGGTGAAATTAAAAGTTTGAAAAAATAATGTATACAAAATACTTGTAATGCATGAAAGCTTTATTTATCAAAACCAACGTGAAATAATCATGATAAAGCCAAAAATAATGTAAACAATTATGCCTTATTGCATACACATGAAAAAGAAAGTGAAAAATGGCTCTGCTCTATTGTACAGGACCGAAAAATTCATAGCTATTTCTAAACTAAACTTCGCTCGATGTACTACTTTACTAAATAATTTAAGAAAGAATTTCATCATCGTATAATCCAAACAAACTTCAACAACTTCAGAACTGTTGTCATGTCTTGTGAAATACGAGATACTGATCTGAAGGAAAGGATAAAAACATTCTGCACAAAATTTCTATTTTTCTATCTTTGTCTGATAAAAAGTCATTTATCATGCCAATTTATTACAGTGTGATGCACAGTTCGATCAATGCAAAATCATTTTCACTGAATATCATTTCTCAAATTTTCTACCCTTACATTTCATTTCATTTCATTTTCATCCTTGCTAAACTATTTCTTTTTGGTTCTGCGTAATAAACATGCTACTGTCAATAAGTGACCATTGCTAATTACTAATCCAGCCAGTTCTTTTTTTTTTCTTCTATCATGTAATAAAGACAAAGAGCGATATTTCTGTGAAATGCTCTTTTCAGTTTTAGTTTAAAAAATAAAAAAAAAAAAAGAAGATCGAGAATTATCCATTAGGTATGAAGTGCTGCTCGAATATTCACATTTCCTTTAATAATAGATGCATTCTTGATGAAATGTCCCCATTTCTAAGATACATAAGCTTTTTACTGATTCATAATGATAGAATCGAAAACTGTTTAAATTAATATCGGCATGACATACTTATTTAATTTAACATTTCAGATTTAATTTAATTCAGCGTCTTATATTTAAACTCATTTAACTAATTTAAACAGTTTTCGGTTAAATTAAAAACATGAAAGCATGCACCTCCGCCATCCCACACAATGATAGCTCGACAAACTGTCGAACGGAAAATTTCACGTCCCATCTTCTTACGGCCCGTTATGTTACGTACCTAAATATATCTCATGATTGAGGGTGATTTTTGAGCATTTTCGATTGCGTAAGTGAACGATATACGTTACGTACGTTCGTGGTTTGTTACGGGAATGATTGTTGGCAATGGAATGTAGCAGGAATGTAAGGTGGATTATCGCAAGGAAGTTATGTTAGGAAATGATTGAAATGGCATGTAAATGTTATAGTTCGAGCGCAATTCAATTTTTTATTTTCAATTTCAGCAGTATGTTTGTTGAAATTCATTAATGTATATTAAAATATCAGCTAAATGAAATAAAAAATCGTGAATATCATCTCGTCATTTTATGATTCCGTGCACATGTTTTGATGCACATCGCAGGTTAACTTAGATTGTCATCAAGCATAAAGTATAATCTTTTATAATGACAAACTGGATTTTTAGCAAGCATGAATCGTTTGTAAATAATGTAGTCGTAAGATGAATTATCTTGCTTTGCTCAACATTTCAAATGATGTAAGGATAGTATGAAAATGTGATGTACAGAAAATAAATTTTAATGCTTAATACATTTTGCTAAGGTAGAACTGAGCTACGCTTGCATCTGAAGATTTTGTTTTCTGTTAGGTATGAATTTATACGTATGGAATGAGATAAACCCATGCCTAATAATTTATGGTGGATTTGCATAGGTTATTGCTCAATTTGATTTTATACTTGTTTGGCTCTAAGTTTCCTTCTTTGCAGTCTTGGTTTTTTGTGATTATATTGAGCCTAAGATAAAACTGGAGCTTTGAAATTATACTTTTCAACCAGTGCTTGAATATGCTTGATGAATTTTTTTAGTATATTAATTGCGCGACTAGTACAATGTCCAGTTTGTAGTATCCGTATTATTCATTCCTTTCTCTGTAGCTCTCAGTTATCGAGAAATATTTCGTACGATCCGAGGATATCATGGAGAAGTGCCGCTCAAAAAACAGCAATCTATCCGCTTTAGCGCCGCAACAAAGTTTGTAATGTTTTGATTTAGAATTATAATTGCACTTCCTTGCTTCTTTCTCCCTGAAAGATAATGCAAGCAAATTATGATAAAACTGCTAAATTTAACTTCATCTCAAAAAATTTTTTTGCGGTAAAGTTGTGAAGGCTTTAAAATTTTCGTCAGTCAATTCGAAAATTATTATGACCAATGAAGAATAAAAGATTGGCTTTTAATTGTTTTGATTTATTGTTCGGCAAATTGTGTTAAGATTGCACTTATCAATACTTGAAGTAGAACTTATCTTTCCAATAAGCAAAGTATTGGATTGCTGCCAATGAAATTATGGTTAAGCAGGTTAATCATATTCTTGTCTTTATGAATTTTTAATTATGTCTTAAGAATCAGAAGAAGCGAGTTCTAATGGAGCAAATGACGCTAATATGAATGATAGGGCCGAGAAATGTTCGATTTGTTTGGGAGCTCCTATGTTCGATGAAGCAAGTTTGGATGGCTGTTCACATAAGTATTGTTATCCGTACGTCGTTTCTTATGCATTTGCATTGATTTATCTAAATTTTATGATTTATCTCCCATAAACTATTAATTTTGTTAGATGTTGCGCTTATCTTCATTTTTTGATTATGAAAATAAGATCGTACAGTATTTTTGATCATTTCAGTATATATCAATTGTTGAAATTTCTAGCTGATTCAGTTTCTACTAGATTACAACAAATGTTGCTGTTTTGGTAAGAAAAAAGAAGCTCTAAATATATTGCTAGCGGTTGGTTTTTCTCGATTTAAAAATCCACTTGCTTTGCAGGTGTATAACGGAATGGATCAAATTGCGGTCACTTTGTCCAATGTGTAAACATCCAGTATCAAAAGTTATCCATTATATTAAAAAAGGTGACAACGATACTGAGACCAGAGAAGAGTATGTTTTTCCCCAAGGTTCCATCTCGAGTACTGCATGTTAAGGCATTACCATCGGCCAAAGTTATAGTAGAGAATCTTGAATTAAATGAATAGTTGATGAATTCTGAGAAATTTTTCATTAGCCATATAAGTATACAACTTTGAATATTTTGATAATGCAGGTGTGCAGCTCACTATGATCAATAAAAAATCTCCTATATACTTTCCATCCTTGATTTGGTATTTGGTGGAAAGGAAATTATACATTCTTTTATTTATTGTGATAGAAATGCATCACTGAAGAAAATGACTTTTGTATAATATCAGACAACATCTATCTTTGACATTTCTTTTTTATTTCGAATTTTGGTCTTTGAATGCATCAGTTTTTATTTTCCTCTGTAGAGTAACAGTGGAAGCGATTCAGCAACAAGCAATAAGAGAAAGAATTGAAGCTGATTCTGCACGTCCGCTCATAAGAGAACGCGCTGAATTAGTACGTCGCATACGTCATCTTCAAAGACTTGTTCGTTTACATGACCATGTGTTCAATGAGTACGTTTTACTTTTCAAGACAGTAACTTCACATTTCATAAGTGATTTTTTGCATATTCACAGAACATAACATTAACTTAAAATGTTTTTTTGCGATTTCATCTTGACATAAACTTCTCACCACTGATATATCTATGTGCAAAATAAACATAATGCATTTTGATTCAACAACTGTTCCCTTATTATGGTTTTATTGAAGTTGTTCCCTTTTTTGATTTAATCAGTGAATCTCATTTATAAAATATGTATTAAATATCATTCAGAAGACAAAGATCAGAAATGCCGGAAAGTAACAGCCGTCGTCATGAATATGTTGATCGGATTAATCGCTATCAGTTACTTTTGGATAATTGGGAGCGACCAAGGTTCTGTTTTTTGTGATATTTGAAGTACTCTTTTTTTTAATCTAAAAAGTATTTTAGAACATTCACAGCCTGATCACCGGTTTTTTCTTGCAGTTTTTGTTGACTTTTGGACTAAAATGCACTTCCTAGTAACATATAGACAAGAAAAAAATTCATGAGTCTCTTTTATAAAGCTTATTAGTTGGTATTAAACTTGATACTTATTATTGATATGCTTGTTAAACTCAATGAAAAGAATTCTTGCAAAGCTGGCAGTTATTGATTTATAATATTGTGCCTGTGTTTTTTCTTTGTTACTTACAAATTTTGATGTGAAATGATTCAGAGGTGAAATAATATCCGATCCATCATTTCGAATCTTGGTTTATGAGCTTCGGTTACAGCGCGTACCAGTAGTTAATACTACTAATACAGGAATTCATCGGAATAGTATTTCACCACAGTATTTTCGAAGTAATGAAAGAAATGAACGAATACGTATTTCCGAATTCGTTCGACGTGAGCTTAATGCTATTTTGCCAGTAAGTTTTTATTTCATAATTTTGTCACCTCTATTATTAATTGTAATCTGTTGTTCCACATTACTCTGTCTTCTAAGTCATAGATAAAATAATGTAAATGATGCTTTTTGCGACAACTTAGAAATTTGATAAAAGGAAATCAACATGTGTTATTCATTATCTTGATTTGGATAGATAGCAAATCTACTTCATGCTCTTTTTTAATGATCTGTCAGTTTAACAAAATTTAGAATTATAACTGCGAATAATTTGTTTAAAGCACGAAGATTGTCCGTTATTTTCTATGATATGAACAAATTTTCCAGAGTATAAATAATTTGGAATATATTGCTGAACTTGTATACGATTTAGCCAAGGTCCATCAAATCATGTCACCGCAATTCACTTCTTGCCTTCGCGAGCACTGTCCAATTTTAGCCAATTTTGTTGATCATTTTGTAGAACTACTATATGAATTTGCTGTCAGTGGTCAGGAGATAAGTCTCTTCGATCAAAATAGCGAATATATCAGGTAATGTTACCTCATGATACCGAATATACTGCTGACATGCGTGAGATATTTTTATAGTTTGCAGTATACATTTTTATTTGATTTTCCTTTCATAATAATGATCTTTTGGAAGTTATACCAGTTTTCGCGTGTTAATATGTTATAGATTATCTTATAGATTGTTAATAGTTTTAAATATTTTTTAGTAGAATAGAACATAGGCGACGATTGACAAACGTGAATTTGGTGCTCTTTGGAGGTAATGCCAATGATGATGATATTCAGGTATTTTTTTTATGCTGAAAAATTTCTTATTTTCTAAGTATTTTCAGCTTGAGCACCTGATTAGTATATAGTAGCAAAAGATTTGAAAAAATGAAATTATATCTTCTGTTAGTGAATGAAAATATAATCCTACTGAGAAGTGAATAGAATGGTATGGTGACACTTCATTCGATCGTATGTGACGATTAGTCATAGAAAGTAGACGATTTTTTTTTTTTTAATGGAGCAAATGTTATTTCAGGTTGAATTGGAAAATCTATACTCACCTAATAGAAATCAGTAAGTTGCTACAAAATAAATATTCTTCTGCTATTGTCACGCAACAGTTTTTCAAGATTATTAATGAAGAAATAAAGTGGCTTTGTTGCACATCTTTTATATTTCTTTTTTCATTAAAAAACATTTTTAAAGCTGCCCCTTTTTAGAGTTTCTGGAGAGATACTAACACGCGAGCATGCTGAAATAATGTCGCCATCACATTTGAATTTTATGTCTGCTTATACTGATGCGGTATTTATTGATTTTTTTCTAGACTTTGTCGATTCCTTGATTGTTTTATAATTAATGTTGACTGTTGTACAAATACTTACTTGATCTTGAAATCCGAATCATTACAGATGGACTTCATTCTTTAAATTGTTTTTCTGTCAGATAAGCTAAAGATTGCTTTTATCCATATTTCATGAGTTCCGACCGAAAGTCTCTTATGAGATTATCTTTTTCCCACATTCTTCCACGTATTGTGCTTAAATCTGTGACTTTGCAGTTAGTAAGTCTGCGACGCTTGCTTCACGTTCTTGAAAGAAATGATGTAATGCTTTCTCCAAATGAAGAAACAGCTGTGGCCGACACAATCGAAGTAAATTTTGTCAATTTTGATTTAGGATAAATAAGATGAATTTTATAACAATGTAATTGAACTGTTAAATTTTGCTTGATTTCACAAAAATAAGAAAGAAGCTAGAATTTACAGCAATTAATAATGTAAGGAAGCAATAATTACCTTTTGTTGGTATTGACTTTTTAGATATAAAATCCTAAAAAATTGATAGCAGCAAAGTTTTATTATATTTTATTCTAGATTTTATTTTAGGCTATTATTCAGGCTTATGCGCAATATCGTCGTCGAATGCGAAATAGGGTGAGTTGTGTTTTATGCTACTTTTCGGTTTTACTAATGTATGTAGCGATCACTTCAGCGTTTTAATTCTAAGAAATTTTTTAAAATAATTCCCATAATTCTAATCACTTTTTTTCAGCGAGGAAATTCAAATCAACGAGGGGCAGGACAGAATAGCGATCACAATGGAGAAATTGTTTTAAGTGATGGCGGTGATGATGACGAACAGGTATTTTTTCTGAATTCTCGAGAGTCTGACTGTTTGTTGAATGGTAGATTAGAAGCTGAAGATATATTCCAAGAAGATATGTTCAGAAAGAATTTGTTTGCTCATCATGATTAATGAAGATAGTATTGAAAAGTGAAATCACTTTTTATTAGAATTTTTTTAGAGTCTTTCAAATACTGCTAGTAGAAGAAATTCTGCATCAGTTTCTCGTAATCGACGGCGATTTGAGCGTTTGCGTCGACGTCGCAGAAGTCAACGATTAATGGGTTTGCAGCTTCGCCAAGGGATATTACGTTCTGATCTCGATACTTTACGTCATGGTTATCTGGATAGAATGTTACTAGATATTGATCGAAATAGAAATAGAGGTATTACTCGTTGGCATTTTATTTAGATAACTGCGTTTCTTTGGTTGCATCATCAATCTTGCGAAAATCATAAAATTAGGATATCTTATTTTTCAAATATTTTCTTGGAAGTAGGTATAATCATTTGCAGAACTTCTGTTTCGAATTTTTATGCTCAAAATCTTGATAACATTAAAGATACAAAACTTTTAAATTCCCTTGCAGGTTTATTCTTGGCATATCCTAATATCTCATTGATAGGAGTTCCAGATGAGGTAATGGCACCACTCAATAGTAATGCAGTGATCGATTTGGAGGGATCGTCCACTTTGAGTGATGACGACGTTATGGTTATAAATGAATCATTTGAAGAACTAGACAGCCATGACAGGAGTGTCAATAATGATGACATTGTTATTGATGATGATACTCAGGAACTGGATATCATAATTGATGGTGATAACAGTCGGGACGCTGTTAATGTTAGCATTGTTCTAGATGATGATATTTGAATTTCAATCTGTTTTCTATTTTTATAAATCTTTTAATGTTGTGATACCAAAAACATTAACTCGTTTAACAAATTGAATTCCTAGTTGTTTTGCTATTTACGAGCGGGATTTGAGTGCAAGAGTAAGAGTAAGTTAGAGAAATTCTCAGTAACTAAGTTGTAGCATCATATAAAATCTGTGTGGTAAGCTTAGCTATGTCTTTCCTTAATTTTTGATGAATTTTTTATGCAACTATATTTTTGATCGTTTTAAATCAATTTTTCAATTTGCTTTGATCAAACAGTTTCCTGCATTCTTGTATCCAATTATTCGTAAATTTTATTCGGATTAGTTGAAGCTTCTTTAAATGTCTATTTTCTGTTTTTTTTTTTTTAATATTCTGACTTAACGGTATATCGCAATGTACTAAGGAAGGAATGACACGTTTAAATCACTTTTGTTCTTTTTTTTCGATAATTTAGTAAAATTGTTCTGATATACATATATCACGTAAGGTTTTTTTTTTTTTTAAATCTTAGTCTTTTCAATTATAATTTCATTTTTTTCTCTTCTTTTGTACTCGATTATTTACCGACTGTAAATGACGTGTTTCATTTTGTCATACATAGAATTTTGTATGAAACTGCCTAAATACTAGTTATTTTGTGTATATGTGTATATATTTTCTAATTTTAATTTTCATATACACATATCCAAAAGTAAATTTTTCTTGTATGCTTTATTTTCACATCTTTGAAAAGAATGTTTTTTAAAACTTTCCAAGTGGTTTTTAAGTTCGCTACATATGTCAAATTTAAACCTAAGCTGCTATATTGTTACAGTCCATCCAGAAGTTTCGTCAGTATTGTCTGTATCTTAGAATCACTACAAAAATTTTTGATATAAAATGCATATTTTGTTTGCCTCAAGAATTTTCTTTTCAGTGCAATTTTTTTGAGGGTAATGCGATCAGTGAGGAATTGCATTAATTTGAAGCTGATCGAATATTTTCTTAAAATTACAGTCTTGGAATTCAGATATTACCAAATATTAAATTTAAAGCTTATTTAGGGCAAATGACAAAGTGTTGAACCAGTCATAAATAAGACAAAAATTAGTTATGTGATTTTTTCAGGAGCATTTTTTGTATTTCCAAAATTATTACAGTCGAGAACGAAGTTTTAGCTGACACTTTCCTCCTTTGAACACTATATATATATATATAATACAATGGAAATTTTGTAATTGATGATGACTAATTATCGCATATAAATAAATAGAGCTTCCTGCAATAGGCTTATAACAGTAACAATAATTACAGTACATTGCTATAACTGCTTTTTTTTTTGTCAAATATTTTACGAGAGATCATTTGGAGAAGAGGAGTGGAGGGCGTAAATGTCCGTTTCAAGCATGTGAAATTGAGCAGTTAGCTATATTCATGTGTCATTATCCACTGGAAATAAATAATCAGTGATTGTTTACATCTTTACAGGTATCATTGGAAATGAATCGTACAGATGAAGTCGATGCTTAATGGAATTATAAGCACTATTAATAGTAAAATAAAGAAAAAGAAGAATACATATTTGATGTCATCATCAAAAACAACAGGTAAAGAATGAAATGCTACAATTTAACATTTAATTTAGTTAATGTTCCTTTCGGCCTGTAATTATTGCAAACAAACACGTTACTACCAGAATTTACCTGTCGTTATTTTTTTTTTTTTGTTTGAAATAATATATATTATATTATCCGTTAAAGATTGTCGATGATTTTATTTATTACTTCTAACAAACTTTTTCCTTCTTTTCGAAATAGTTTGTTCTAGAACGGAATGTTTCGAAGGTTTTTTTTTTTTTTCAAATAGCAATTTGAAATACACTTCAAGCGAATACTTTTAGAAGCAATTGATTGGTAGTGACTAATACATGTGCAGCTTCATTTATGCAGAGGTAAATCTCTTTGGCCGAGTTTACGGCTAACGGAAAAGAATCATAGTTTTTCAATTTTGTAAGTTCAAAATAAATTTGCTGCATCTGTGCTTCAAAATTCAACGAACTCTTCGGAAGTAATGTCTGCATCCTTCGTGCTCGCTGTAGAAATAGTTTTCCTGCAAAAAGATGTTGAAATGTAGGAAGAAGTGATCGTCAACTACAAAAAACCACAAATATGATGATGAGATAAAGCTTCGAAACTATTATCTGCAGTGTGTATTTCTTGAATGAAATGATTTTCCGGGATTATAGAAGATCAAGAAGTGTCATCATCTTTTTTTTGATTCTGATTCGGTCCGATGCTTCTTATCTTTTTCTCATGACGAACTAAAAAAGCTCATCGTTATCTTTCGTCGGCATTATCAATAATCTCTAAGCAGAAGAGTTTACAGATTATTCATTATCTTTGTCGTGGTTAATGAAATCTTACACCGTTAATCTACCAGTTGTACTGGTTGTACTGATCAATTCAGTGAACTTGTTTGTTCAGAATAAATTCTTAGTTTTCCCTATTACGAAAATTCTTTCATCGATGAGATTCTAAATTGATAAATCATGAATCCATTGATTTGAAATTTTAGAGATGGAATGGAAAAACAGAATATCATCATCATTCATCATCATCATCATCATCATCATCATCATCAT